TCAAAATATAGAGAAAAAGTAGAAATGAATGACTAATAAGCCAATAAGTGCTCCTCTTCTGCTTTCTACTGTTTATAATTGTGATTTAATGTATTTTTAAAATTTTACAAAAGTGTTTGTTTACCACAAAGTATATTTTGGTCATCCCATTAAAAATAGCATTCAAACTGGATCATTTTAGAGCTTTGAAGTGCAACTTGGCTGCCTCCTCGTTTAAAACCTTAATGGAACAAATAAAATAACTTGCATCAGATCTTGCATGCATGAAGTCTCCTAAAATACCCCGGTAAGTCTCTCAGTATAAGTTTCAAACCTTAATTCTCTCCTTGATGTTTATGGGCTTTTTTGAGCAGGTCTTCTCTTGAACCTGCTTCTGAACTCCAGGGGTCAAGCTCTGAGTAGAGGGGGGATGGATCTTCCTCTGTGAGCGGTAGGCGTCAATGCTGTCAATTGTATGAAAAAACAATTGGGTAAAAAGTTAAATATCAGTGGTTGACCAATATATAGACAGCTGAGTGGCTCTTGATCGATATAAAACTGATATGCATAAATATATATATATATTTATTTTCAAATAAGGATGTATTAAATTGTTCAAAAAAAGACATTTATAAAGTTACAAAATAATTTTTTTATTTGAAAAAAATGCTGTTATTTTGTACTTTCTATTCATCAATTCAAACATCAATTCAACTTAAATTGCAATAATATTTCACAATCACAATATTACTGTATTTCTGATTAAATAAACGGCTGATTTGCCAGTCAATCACTAGTAAAAAGAAAAAAGCATAATACCAAAAATAAATAAATAAATACCAAGTTGGACAAACAGCGACACAGAATGACAGGGCTCTTGACAAATTATTATTGTGATTATTTAAGGGAGCACACCTGTATAAAGGTTGACCGCAGTCAGCAGGACTAGCTGTCATTTCTTCAGGTGAGGGCAGCTGTACTGATGGCTCAGACACAATGATTTCAATGTTCTGTAGAAACATTTAGAAACAGACATTTATGGTCTTTTAACTAACTAATACATTTATATCTATGTAATCGATTACACTCTTACACTGTAACTGAAAGGTACATGTATCTGTACATGCGAACTTTCCATTTACACAAGGGAAAACTCAGATGACACTGCCTAGCATTTAACTTCATATGAAAAGTGGCATAATTATGCTAAAATGCATTTTGATAAAAACATATTTGACAAGCACTTGAATTTCTTTGGTGACATAATATTTAACCATATACACTGAACATACTCTAGTCCTAAAGAAATTTCTCTCATTCACTGGCTGTCACCAAAAATCAGACCAATACCAGTGGTGTGACAACAGCCTCCACAGATTTGCTGAGAGGAGAGAGGATACAGCTGGGTGGCAGGGTTAGAAAGTCCTCATCAACCATGGGGGTGCTCTCCTGCTTTTCTTCCATCTCTCCTTCACCATCATCAACAGACTGGAGCTCCTTCTCTTTCTCTGTTGCAGAACTGGCATCAGGAGTTTCTTCACTCTCTTCACACATCTCACTCTGGTCAAGAGGATACTCATTTAATGTGACTGTGACTGGTTCCTGTTTGTCTTCCTTTTCAACTGTGTCCGATTCCGTTTTGTCTTCCTTTTCAGTCTCAGATGAATTGCTCTCATCTTTCTCCACCCCCTCTTCCTTATTTCCATCTTCACCTTCCTTGTCTGCATGTTGCAGGACGTCTTCAAACATCTTGTAAATTAGAGTGGAAGTGCTCAAAGCCCCAGGTTCTGTTACAGAAACAAATGTGGTAAATATGGTAGCCAAGTAAGATCCAAGAGATTTTAGGAAAAACATTTACCTATAGATGTATAAAGTTCTTCACTGGGGAAACAGATGTCCACAGAACATGGCGGTGTGGTGTTCAGACTTTCATCAAATACCTTACTGTCAACCTCACAGGAGCTGAATTCAGATCCCTTTAACTCTTCCTGCAGAACACATAAAAGCTGAAATTAGGTTTTGCCCTATATACACAAATAAAACAGTGCGAAAGACAAAAAAAACTGTTCTCCCCAAGTGAGTCTGTGAGTGATTACTTTGCCCTAGTGACCATAAGCAAATTATGGATAAACCTCAAAACCAAGAGTGAAGAAGCAGGGCTCCAGACTAACATTTGAGAGCAGTGGCACCAGCCAGGAGCAGACTTGGTAGCGCTGGGGGTGGTGTGTGGGAGTATTAAATTATAGATCATTTAATCATAAAATGATTATTGTTTTTCATTAATAAGCGCAGTTACTAATAATATTACATGTTCATTTCTTGTTTATTTTTCTTTTGTTTATTGTTTATACAGATTTGACAGTAAAGCACTAAGCTTGAGTTAAGATGCATACAAAATTGACTTTTATTAACAACAGTAACAGGTGCAAAATCTAATTTTTATATAGAAAAATTATATATTCCACTCTTATGGGAATAAATACTTAATGGTATTAAATGTACCATTATTCTTCTAGCATATGGAACTGCCCAACTACAGTGATTATGTGTGATTTAGTAGCAAATTGAAGAAAAGTTTGTTTTTCATGGCACTTTGTGACTTTTCTTACTTCATACATAAAAAAAGTGTAAGATTCTGACAAAATCTGATTTCTTGATGATTTTATATTTTATAATAGTGATTTTATAATTTCAAAATATAGAGAAAAAGTAGAAATGAATGACTAATAAGCCAATAAGTGCTCCTCTGCTGCTTTCTACTGGTTATAATTGTGATTTAATGTATTTTTAAAATTTTACAAAAGTGTTTGTTTACCACAAAGTATATTTTGGTCATCCCATTAAAAATAGCATTCAAACTGGATCATTTTAGAGCTTTGAAGTGCTGGAAATAGTTGTGTGAAATGCTTGAAAGTCATTGAAAAGTGCTTGAATTGCTCTCTCAAAAGGTTGTACAAACCCTGAATTGAATGATGTAATGCATTCGACTATTTCTACCACAACACCATGGTTACAGTTAGCGTTACCGCTTCTGGTTTCCTGACTTATGTCAGCGCTGTTTATAATAGAGAATTCTGTGCAGAATTTGAATGATTCTTTCTCAGAGGCGGACAAAGTACTCAATTCCATACTTAAGTGAAAGTACAGATACTGCTGGTCAAATATTACTCCATTACAAGTAAAAGTTGTAAAGACAGATTTTTACTTAAGTAAAAGTACAGAAGTACTTGCTTTTAAAAGTACTTAAGTACCAAAAGTAAATTTAATTTTTTATGTCAATGCACTGTTTTATTGTTGTTGTATGTACTACAGTGCCCAGTGAAAGTGTTCATACCACTTCATTTTTTTTCCACGTTTTTTGTTATGTTGCTGCCTTATGTTAAACTGCTTTAAAGTACTTTTTCCCACATCAATCTACACTCCATACACCATACTGACAAAGCAAAAACAGAATTGCCACAACTTCGTGAATTTATTAAAAATAAAAACAACTGAAATAAGTACATTGCATAAGTATTAACTAAATATTTAGTGGAAGCACCTTTACAGCCTCAAGTCTTTTTTGTTTGATGCGACAAGCTTTGCTCATCAGCATTTGGCAATTATCTGCCATCCTTCTCTTCGCCTCTTCACCTCTCAAGCTCTGTCAGGTTGCTCTGTCGCAGGTTCAAGCTCTGAACACTATTAAAAAAGCCTCATAAAAACGGCCAAAAACGGCCACAACAGATGTCTGTACCTAAAATGGTGCAAATAAATAAATGTTCACCTTTTATTAGGATAACGAGTATGAAACATGCTCCGAGTTGCTTCAGAAAACAAAAAAATAGAGCAACAACAAAAGCATCTTGCTGGAAATGGGTTTATTATTGAAAATGCAAACTGCTTGTCTGCCAGCAGGAGGCGCTGTGAGAGCGGTGGAACTAACGGTTTCTCCAGTAATGGCTGTAAACATGAACGGTACTTTATCAGATAAAAATATTCTGAAACATCTAAACTATTCTAAAGACAGTCGGTTCCCTTCAGAGATACATTCATATAAAACACCCGCAACGCGTTTTGATTTTGAAAGTGCAGTGCTCATGTTTATTCAACGAAGTCAAACGCCACAAATAAATCAATGTATGGGAAACACTGGTAACGTATATCGGAAATGTGTTTAAAAATCATATCACCGTTATTGAAAAAAATTATATCACGATACATATTGATATTGAATTTTGAATTATTGTCCAGCCCTAGGTTAACGTCACTCGAAGGGTAGTAACATCTACAAGCAATATGAATGCTCCTGAGCTCAATTTCTGTCCCAGATAAGGGTATGAACACTTATGCAATGGAATATTTAAGTTTTTTTTTTTGTTAAATTAGGAAACATGTTAAAAACCTGTTTTTTGCTTTATCATTATGGTGTATGGAGTGTAGATTGATGTGGAAAAAAGTAATTTTAAGTAGTTTAACATAAGGCAGCAACATAAAGCGTGAAAAAATGATGAATACGTTCGCAAGGCACTGTACTTGCAACACCTCTGAAGCAACTTACAGTACATTACACCTACTGAATACACTGACTAGCTTGTAGTATCTTTGGAATAAAGAGCTTTTAGAATGTTTAAAACCTATGGGGAAAAAACAAAACAAAACAAAAAAAAGTATTATTTAACACCCCTACCCACCCCCACAAAAGCAGGATGGTAGTGATCTCACACAGCTCTGGACACATCTATGTGTAGCCATTCATCCACATTTGAACAGAGTGGACAGTGAAACTGCTGTAAATACAGACTGATAAGGAAGAAAATCAAAAATCAAACCTGCTTTAAAACCCAGCAACACAACTGTAGCTGTATAACTTTACAATAGCAACACTGCTTTAACAAAAAAGCAAAACAGCAAGACTTATTTGACATCAAAACAAACATTTATCTAATTAAATGTAGTCTTGTGTTTTATTCAAATTGATTATAATTTATATCTCAAAAGGATATGCACTTGTGTGCAGCTGAGCTGCTGCGCACTCGCACTGCAGGTCAAACACCTTTTGTGTTTTATTTTATAGGTAATATTTTCACTTACACAATTTAGCAAAATCAGACACCATTGTGTCTAATATAAACCACAATATTAACTTCTTATTATTGAATTGTTATAAATAAATATCACATTTGGAACTGGTCAGTGTTGAAAAAATGCTGGGAAATCTCTTCATGTAGCCCCAAGAGTGATTACTGATAAACTGTCTGAAAAAAAAGAAAGTCACTTTAGAGAAGAAGAAAAATCCCCCACTGACTTTCAAAGCTGCTAACGACTTTCTACTTTGAGGACCTTGATAGAAATGTAGTGGAGTGAAAAGTACAATATTTGTCTTTCAAATGTAGTGAAGTTAAAGTCATAAGTTCCAGAAAAAATTATACTCAAGTAAAGTACAGATACTCAAAAAGTGTACTTAAGTACAATACTCAAGTTAATGTACTTAGTTACTGTCCGCCTCTGTACTAGATCTCGCAGCACTTTTGCATCTGTGCAGTAAGTGTCGCGAAATCAACTTTGCTCGGACAAGTTTGTTTGCGTCGCGGTCTGAGCTGATAAACGGTACGCGCTGCGCAGCTGAAACGTAGCGAATCTGTGTATAATCCGTGTATCATTCGATCATTCGTTTTTTGATTTAATATTGAAAGTAGAAAAATTTGAAAACGGCTCCTTTTTTGTTTTTTCGTTTTTATCCAAAAAACGAAAAACAAGAATTCAGCTTAAATTTTCCTTTTTCCTTAATGGGTGGAAAAATTAGAATGCGCTGCTTTAGCGCCTCTTGGTCTCCTTGAGCATCTTTCTGGCACATGCCACAAACATGAACCACAGGGAATAGGCCTACTTGTCTTTTAAAAGGCTTCATTTAGATGATTTGACGTTATATGCATCATATAAGTCACTTTGGAATAAATCACAGTAGGCTTATGTATCATGATAAAAAAAAGCGACTTTACAGTCTGGAAATACTTTAGGCTATAGCAAATTATTTTGCGGACCCCCTATCACTTTAAGAACCGCTGGTCTACACAGAAGAAAGACCTGTCTAGACTCTGCCACAGTATGCGTTGTGTCCAGCTATTCATTAGCCTGTTTGTTTGATGAAAAAAGATGAAATGTAGTTGCAATAAATGCGTTAAGAATCCATACAACTGCAGCAGTGGAGGACTATTATTCTGCTGTGTGATACTGTGGAAGAACTGATGAAGGCATGGTTTGATCTTTGGCTGACCAATCAGCAGGATTGTGTATCATTCGATCATTCATTTTTTGATTTAATATTGAAAGGAAAACGGCTCCTTTTTCGTGTTTTTGTTTTTTTCCCCAAAAACGAAAAACGAGAATTCAGCTTAAATTTTCGTTTTTTGTTAATGGGTGGAAAAATTAATAAACAGCTTGAATATTTGATTTCTACATGTGGGCGGGAATTAAACGCCCCTTTCTGCTGATTGGTCAGCCGAAGATCAAACC